ATTTTGACCTCATAGTTTTTAAGGCAATCGCATACCTTTTGCATTAATTTAGAAAGAAGTTGAGCTCCACAAAGTTCTAATTTTGGTAGGGTAATGGTTTTACTAGTCGGAACTAATCTTGCCTTTCCTATAACTAACACGATGGATGTTGTGGCGTCTCTGTTGATTTTGCAATATATTACGGCAGCGTATGCTTTAGTTGAGGCGTCACAAAAACCATGTAGCTCAATGGTGTCTTGATTTTTTATTTTTAACCATCTAGGAACTCGTACTTGACTAAGGTTATTTAATTCTATTTTTATTCTCGCCCATTCATTGCATATTTCTTCTGGTAAGTTTTGATCCCAATCGAGTTTTAATTTCCATACATTTTGAAATAGAATTTTCAGTTTCGTGGTGAGTGGTGAAAGCCAGCCTAATGGGTCAAATATTTTTGATATATCAGACAGTAGGCTCCGTTTGGTAGTAGAGTTCTTTAAATCTATATTGTAATCAAAAACAAACTCATCGCTTTTTGGTTGCCAACGCAGCCCTAATATTTTGTTGGATTCGGCTTGTTTGAAGTCAAAGTCATCTTGGTTATTTTGGATTTCATCTGAAAGCAGTTGAATGGTATTTGACTTCCATTTGTATAAATTGAAGCCGCCTGATTTCAGAAGTTTAATTAAATCATTTTTCAACATAATTCCGTCAGGTATATTGTGACAACCATGCAATACATCATCCATATAGAAAGATTCTTCCAGGACTTTGATTGCATCAGTGGTGGTGTAATTTGATTTTTCATCGCTTGCGAGTTGTTTTAGAGTCATCATAGCTAAGAATGGTGCAGATTTAGTTCCGTATGTAACTGTGGTGAGTTGGTATTCCTGTAGTAGTTGATCAGGAGCGTCCCGCCAAAAAACCTTTTGGTATTTTTGATCACTTTCATGGACTTTTATTTGGCGGAACATCTTTTCAATATCCGCGGTGAAAGCATATTGGTACTGTCGCCACTTCAATATCAAAGTTTGTAGGTCCTGTTGTAGATTGGGACCTACTTCCATAACGTCATTTAAGCTCCGACCGGTAGAAGTATTGGCGGACGCATTAAAAACGACTCTAAGTTTTGTAGTGGATGACTCAGAACGCTCTACGCCGTGATGTGGTAAGTAACAGTCGAGTGTCATGTTACCTTTGGCGCGCGCGACTGGAATCATATGGCCTAATAAGCGATATTCATTCATAAAGCATTTATAATTACAAGCCATTATATTATTTTTTGAAAATTTTCTTTCTAGTTGTCGAAATTGAGCGATGGCCATAGATTTCGATGATCCCAACAGATTTTCATGGTTTGGTTTAAATGGTATTTTGACATGGTATCGTCCTTCTTCATCTCTTGTGGTTGTAGATTGATAATATTTAATGCAGTGGTCATCTGCTTCAGAAAGATCGGATGTTTGTGTAATGTCCTCGATTTCCCAGAATCTTTGTAACTCATCCGTATGGTTGAGAACTACGTTACAATGAAACCTTTGATTTTCGACGTTGCCACATAGGATCCATCCGAATTGTGTTTCTTGGGCAACTGGATGGCATGGTCCTAATTTTATAATACCGCTCATTATAATGGTTGAATAAATATCCGCACCCAACAAGATATCTATTTTTCTACTAATATAAAAGTCAGGATCGGCTAAGTCGATATTGTCTAAATATTTCCAGGTTGGTTTTATAAAGGACTGATTTGGCAATTTATTTATCAAACTTCTCATAATTAATGCATCTGTAGTGGTAAAAAACTCATTATATAGTGAATGAATTTGAATTTGAATAACACCTTTGCAGTTATTCTCTTTAGCGCCGACTCCAAAGATAACTCCTTTACACCGCTTTCTCGGTAACCTTAAAATTTGGGCGGCATTTTCAGAAATAAGGGATGTTTGGGAGCCCTGGTCTATGAGCGCCCGTAAAGTGTGGTATTTTCCGTCTACAGCCATAACATTTATCATTGCTGTTGCTAATAAAGTTTCAGCTACATTTTTGTGAGACACGTGGCATGTTTTTCTTTCACTCGCAGTTTTGGTGTTGGTGATAGTTGAGTTTTCTGTTGATGACATAAATAACTCATGAATTAAAGAATTATGTTTTGCATTGCAGTGGCGACAAGTTTTGTTGGATAAGCATTCTTTACCGTGGTGGTTGAATAAACAATTTTCGCATAGACTGTATTTCGTAATTGTTTTTCGCTTTACATCCGGTCTAGATTCGCGAAAGAGTTTACACAGGTAAATTGCATGATTTTCGTTGCAATGAGGACATTTTTTGGTTTCCACGTGCATAGATTTGTAGGACGGTAATGGTTTGGTAAATGGTTTGGTTTGTTGATGACTGATCGATGGTTGTTGGTATGCTTTTTTGAAACGATGATCTTCATGGTGTGATGACTTAGTTGATTCCTGTTTACGTCTAAAAGCTTCTAAAGACGTAAATTTGGACTCCAAAAATTTCAAAAAATCTTTTAAAGTTGGTAACTCTCTCGGGTTCTCTAACGAACCAACATAATCATTATGTGAATCCAGGTCGAGTTTCTGGGATAACAGATGTACTATTAGGGGGTCCCACGTGGAAATATCAACACCCATTTTCTGAATGGCGTGTAGGCACTCGTTGGTGGTATCATGTAACTTCTTCAATAGAACGGCATTTTGGACTTGTATGACTGGTAAATTCAAAAGAGTATTGACGTAAGACGTAAATATCATTTTTTTGTTGTTAAAGCGATGGTTCAAAATATCCCATGAAATTTGGTAGTTTTCAGAAGACACATTTAAATGTTGAATTAATTTCTCCGCTTCGCCCTTCAATTTACTTTTCAAAAATTGAAGTTTCTGTGCATTTGATAAGGATGGATTATGGTGGATTGATTCTTGGAAAAGATCTTTAAATGACGTCCATTGCTGGTAGTTGCCACTGAAAAATGGTATCTCCATTTGGGGGGTCGACTTCTCCCTGTGGGACACTGACCACATTTTGGTGTTAATTTGTCGCTTTATGGTATCAAATCTTGTTTCGTATTTCGCAAACTGTGCTTCATACGCCTCATAAACGGAATAGTCATCTTTCGGTTCACTGTCGATCTCCCAGTGCATAGAATCGATAACATTCCACCTAGAGTGTAACATTTTCAGAGCATCATCGAATTCCCACTTATTAACTAAAGCATCTATGTTTATGTTGGAGATTGTTCGCGAAAAAGCTTTGAAATTACTAGATTGTTTTCGAAACAGCTCATCGAGTTTGCTGCTGGTTTCTTCATATTTTCGCGATGAAGTAGTAGCAGCGGTTGGTATTGGTATGGTAAATGGTGAAACATTTAATGGTGTCGCTGGTTTTAAAAGTGGTGTTGATGGTCTACTCTCTTCTTGCTTATAACTTTGAATAAGCAACTTAGTTTGGTTATAAAAGTCATTAGTACGTTCATATTCTTTGCCTGTAAAATAAGCATTATTTTGGTCTCCAAAACTACATAACTGGATATGGTTCGACTGAAATTCTTTCCAGTAGCTATCTAGGGTCTCCAGCTTCCTCCTTATATAATCTGGTGTCTTGCGGTCACGGCTGTCCTTCTTGAAGTTCTTCAGAAGTTGGTCCATACCCGCCATAATTTGGCTTTGAGTTTCAAGTAAAGCCTCCATGGTAATGATATTAGTTGTTAAAAAAGGAAAGATCTTACTTGGTTTATCGCGCAGAACGTTTAAACCTCAGCTAGGTTCAGCAGTGGTTGTTGGATAGCTCAGCCTTGGTACGGCTGAGGCCCAGCACTGATACAGTACAGGAACCCGTCGTCGGTTAACAGTTGCAAGTCCGTACACACTTACGATGGTTTTGACTCACGATGGTCACTGTTTTAACACTCGCGATAGGTTCCTTCTACGAATCGAAGGACCATTTAGATGTACGGGGAATACACCTTATTGTTGAGATAGTTATAATAAAAGTCACTTGTAGGCAATAATAATAAAAAGTATATATTTTATTTTGTCACTGTAGTAACAAGTTCTTAAACTTATTTTAACACTGAGTCTCTTTATACTAATAAAATTATAGAAAAGGAAATTATAACTATGGTGAAATAATGGTAGTAGAAAGTATGGTAAAATGGTATGAGTGAGTACGCGCGATTGGTATGGCGATCGGAAAAACACTAACTTTTACTTCAATATTAGAGACATTGCGAAACATAATTTAAAATAATTATGAATTAAGTAGCAAGCGAATATTGCTGACGCGCGTTACCTACTTATTACAGTTCAATGTGCGGTCGGGACCGAACAGATTGAGTTCGTGCTCTTTGAATCTCTACGATCTGAGTTGCACGTATTTTAATCTAACTTTTTACTGAAAGCCGGAGAATGACTGAATCGTCTTATTAGTGATGGATTGAAAAAATATAAGTATATGTTAAGAATGCAGTTTATTTTAACCGGATCAGGAATCAGATTCAGATTTAAACCTAATTGTATTCTACTTAAGTATGTTGTAATAAATATGCTGTTATTTGTCCCAAATAAATAAATAAATGTCTTCCTCGTGTCTGGTTTCAGCACCGTCGGAAGCGCCGACGTCAGTACAGGTCGTGGCGGGAGGCGCGGGGGAACTGCACGTGTCGTGGCGACCGCCACCGCGCGAGGCCTGGCATGGCGAGCTGCTGGGCTACAGCGTCACCTGCACCGAGCTTGGTCCCGGGCCCCTTCCCCTGGCCAATACAACCAGGTACATCACTATACCACCGCGTAAGGCCTGGCACGGCGAGTTCTTGGGGTACAACATCATCAAATTTGTAGCTTCATAAAAACACGTGTAAAATGTTATTTGTCTTTCGAGTGTTAGAGTAACGTTAGAGCCACTCAGGGTTTGCGGTAGTTTAGGAAGTCACACCAAACAACGTTTCCACCAATTTAATATACTAGTTGAAATATTTTGAACTTTGTGTTAAAACGTCCACTAAGTGATGCATGTGGTGGCCTGTTGACGCCGGCAGGACATTGACGGTGAACGGTTGGTCGGCGACGGAGCTAAGTCTATCGGCGCTGCGCAAGTTCACGCGGTACGAGGTGCGCGTGCGCGCCTTCAACGCTGTCGCCGCCGGACCGCCCTCCGCGCCGGTCACCGCCACCACACTGGAAGGAGGTGAGCACCTCATATCACATCTAACAAAAAGTGCTTTTAAAATTTACCATAAACTAAATAGTGTTACTAGTTCACCTTCAGATAAAATTAAGTTAGACAAAATTTTGCAAATAACAATCATTGCAACAACTATCTGAGACACCCTCCGGTAATTGATACTGAATTAAAGGAACAAAACCACTGAAAGCAATGAAATACTCTTTATGTATACATACTATAGGTAACGATACAAATCTAAACTAGAAAATAGGTAAGGATACTGAAAAGATCCAAATTGGCCCAGAACAAATTGATAAGTAATATTTTAATGAATACTATTAGAGCCTGTACGCATACTCGTAAGCCAGAGCAGCGATCGACTTCGCTACAGGTTAAACGGATCGACGAATTGTCAGGAAGTTGAGATGGTATGGAGTGTATCGAGTATGTGTTGCAGTGCCGGAGTGGCACCCGCTGCGCGTGTCGTGCTCGTCGCTGTCCTCCTCCAGCCTCAAGGTGTCGTGGGGCGCGCCCCCCGCGGCGCACCACGCCGGCGTCATACAGGGGTACAAGCTCATCTACTCGCCGCTCACCGCCGACCACGGTACACTACCGTCCCCCTTCTGCTCGCGAGCCTCTCATGGCTCTATAAGTGAACGCAAGTCTGGTGATGGCCCATAGTGCCAGTTGTAAAACAATTTAAAGCGGCTGGGCACAAACATGCATGCATATGCTTGTTTAATAGTTATTATGAGAAAATATTATCCAATAATAAAAATATAATTAAAATTACAAGCTCAGGGTTCAAATGGTGATTGTTGTTAATGTAGAATGGATTCAAATCTATTATAGCGTTATCTATTGTACTCTCTGGTACACTAGACACAAATAAAAAAAAAACTGTTTAACTGAAATCAATCGCTACCTTACCGTAATAAATGTGTAATTTTTTAAAAGAATGCTTGTGTTGCAGCGGATGTAGGAGAAATCAAACGAGTGACGACAACGGACACCTACCTTCACACTCTACGCAAATACACCAACTATTCTATACAAGTTCTGGCATTCACAAATGCAGGGGATGGGAAACGCAGCCCTCCGGTCTACTGCATGACCGAGGAAGACGGTGAGATTATTCTAGTGATGTGATTCGTTGTTTTACTAGTTAATGCTGCATCTGTAGATCACACCCCATCAATCTATATCAGCCCCACGGCTTATATCTTTATGTCTACTTCTTTTTTCACGCTGTAAGCGTGTGCTCTGGGTATAAGGACATTAATAGGCTTATGATGATGCCTTGAATAAATTCTGACTATGTATTCGAGAAGGTGTTAGTTTGTATTTATTTACTTTGCAGTTCCATCGGCACCAGAAAAGATTAAAGCTCTAGCTTACTCCAGTGATTCGGTTCTCGTCAGTTGGCTACCACCTTTACACCCTAATGGCATCATATCACATTACACAGTGTATTACAGAGAGGCAGGACGGTAAGTTCTAAATAATGTTTTTTTATATTGGCCTTCATTTGAATTCGCAAATCACAATATAAATTATTTTTTAGATCAGTTTTGGAATAGAAGTCAATAAATAATTACGGTGGTGAATGTTATTACATAACATGATGTTCACTAATAGAGATTTACTAAGTTCTTCATATTTCTAAATGAGACTCATCAAAAACATAACATGTACAAAAATGCTCAAGTCTCACATCGCAATTTTCTTAGCGTAAAAAGTTATGAAATGAACGTAAAGCAAGTCGGTTAATTCAGTACCTATGTTTATGTGAGAGCAGTTATCCAACCTTAGGAATACTTTTCCAAAGTTTTCCTATGGTATTACTTTCCTAATCATTGATTTTAATTATGTTATTTTGTTTACTCTTTAATAAATGTTTGTATCACGTAGTATTAAAATTCTCTTTGGTTTGTGTTACTAAGCAACATATTGACGGATGTTTTAAAAAATCTAAACACGCGACAAATATTTCATAATGTTAGATTTTTTCCTTACTTTGTATGCAAACTTACAATAGTGTTCAAAATTTGGAGCTTGTTTGTGTGCTGGAATTACCTTAGAATTTTAATGATCTATGAGTCAATCAGTGACAAAATTAAAAACATTTTGAATTGCAATAATTCTTAAAGTTTTTGTTCAAATTTAATGTACGATAATTTGCCTTGTCATATGATATATTGTCATATCCTACTCAAATTCAGGCTTCTTGTTTACTCCAGAACGAAGTTACAGGAGGTCAAAAATGCGTGCCTTTTTACTTTTTTGCACGACTTGGCAGGGACATTTTCGTGCCCCCAGATTAATTATAATCATAAAATTTGAAAGAATTCGACGCTGATTTACTATCGTAATTACTCGAACTTCTTTTAATAAAGGCTACTTTTTACTTTTAATATTTTAAATGCATATCCATTTATATTTAGCTTAGGCAAACACTCGAGCTTTACAGTGTCGGCGGACTCCAAGCCGGAAATGGAATTGATGTACCAAGTGAGGAATTTGATGGAGAACCAACTGTACGAGTTCTGGGTGTCGGCCACGACAGGCTCCGGGGAGGGAGAATCCACTTTAGTCGTGGGACAAGGACCTAATTCCAGGAGTGAGTCATTTTCATTCGTAAAAGTCGGTAAATTTGGAATCGGGGCAAACTACAGCGTTTAAAGGAGGCTCAAACCACAGTTTTGATGAAACACTACGTTGAGTAATTTAATAATTAAATAATCATTTAATTATTAAATTACTCAACGTAGTGATTAAATAATCATTTATTACAAAACTGTCAATTTAGGTGGAAAAGAAGGGTTTCAAACGATGTCGTTTTCGCGAAACTTAGGATGGACGCTTCCGCCTACCGAGTCATCGAACGATATTATTTAATGGACCCATGAAGAAATCAAGAACTCCTAAAGTAAATGTGTCGTGGAACGCTGCGAGGAATACGGGTGGAGTGTAGCGGTGCGGTGTGTTGCAGTCCCGGCGCGCGTGGCGTCGTTCGGGCGGCGCGTGTGCGTGCGGCGCGGCGGCGCGGCGCTGCTGGCGTGCGCGTGCGTGGGCGCGCCGCCGCCGCGCTCGCGCTGGCACCACGCGCGCGCGCCCGTCACGCACCACCACTACTACCAGGTCACGCACGCCGGCCATCTGCACATACGCGGTACGTATCGGTGCCGCCGCCGCGCTCGCGCTGGCACCACGCGCGCGCGCCCGTCACGCACCACCACTACTACCAGGTCACGCACGCCGGCCATCTGCACATACGCGGTACGTATCGGTGCCGCCGCCGCGCTCGCGCTGGCACCACGCGCGCGCGCCCGTCACGCACCACCACTACTACCAGGTCACGCACGCCGGCCATCTGCACATACGCGGTACGTATCGGTGCCGCCGCCGCGCTCGCGCTGGCACCACGCGCGCGCGCCCGTCACGCACCACCACTACTACCAGGTCACGCACGCCGGCCATCTGCACATACGCGGTACGTATCGGTGCCGCCGCCGCGCTCGCGCTGGCACCACGCGCGCGCGCCCGTCACGCACCACCACTACTACCAGGTCACGCACGCCGGCCATCTGCACATACGCGGTACGTATCGGTGCCGCCGCCGCGCTCGCGCTGGCACCACGCGCGCGCGCCCGTCACGCACCACCACTACTACCAGGTCACGCACGCCGGCCATCTGCACATACGCGGTACGTATCGGTGCCGCCGCCGCGCTCGCGCTGGCACCACGCGCGCGCGCCCGTCACGCACCACCACTACTACCAGGTCACGCACGCCGGCCATCTGCACATACGCGGTACGTATCGGTGCCGCCGCCGCGCTCGCGCTGGCACCACGCGCGCGCGCCCGTCACGCACCACCACTACTACCAGGTCACGCACGCCGGCCATCTGCACATACGCGGTACGTATCGGTGCCGCCGCCGCGCTCGCGCTGGCACCACGCGCGCGCGCCCGTCACGCACCACCACTACTACCAGGTCACGCACGCCGGCCATCTGCACATACGCGGTCAGTGCCGTCTGCCCCGCCTCCCGGTCCTCTTAGCATTTAGTGTTGACCGCGTTCGTCTAACCGCTCGGTTCTATTTAATATTCTTAATGTTGTCGTTCTTTCATAAATAGGACGATCTATTCAAATGAGCGAAATATCATTGAACTGAAACCATTTAAAAAACTCTTTTATTATTGTAGAGGTCAACGAGCAATCATCTGGAAACTTCACATGCACGGCCAGTAATTCTATAGGGGAGGACTCCATAATGTATACCGTGGTCGTGGTCCTTCCGCCGTCGCCCCCCGCGCTGTCTCTACAGTACACTACCGCCTCTAGTATAAAACTGCACTGGCAGAGAGCAGCCGACGCGGTGGATCCTATATTAGGTTAGTTGAATTGATATCACGACTTAGGTATTTATGCTGTCTCGATAGCAACGAAACATCTAAAATTGTATTTAAAAAAAGATGAAACGCTGACAACCAAGAAAAGCTTTAAATTTTGAATACTCAATATGCAATAGGGTTCCTGGAGGTACCTACTTATTTCCCACAAAGTGCAATTGGTAATTAAATCTTCAGACTTCAAAATAAAAACTATATTTCTTTATATGAATGTGCTAGAGCTACTTCATGAACTTTCTGATTTCAGGATACCTGCTGCATTACAAGCAAGAGTCACAAACTGACTGGCAAACTATAGAACTATCACCAGAAGTTACGTCGTACACGATGGATATGCTTAAATGCGGATCCACGTATAATGCGAAGATACAAGCAAAGAACAAAATATCTGTAGGACAGCCCAGCGAAATGCTGACTGCTACCACGAGAGGCGGACGTAAGTTTTCGCATTTAAACTTTATTATGATGAGTTCATGAGTTCATGGTCATCTTTGAGTAATATTGTTTCATGGTCGTATGTTAATTTGAAGTATCTCTAAAATTATATTATAATTAAAACATAAATGTGATCAATGTGACAGTCTACATTTATATAGGTCCAAAGCCGCCAAAACCCGAAGAACACGTTCACATGAACTCCACCGCCATAAAAATCAATTTCTACGCATGGCGAGACGGTGGGTGCCCCATCCTTGGCTTCAGAGTTTCATATCGGAAAGCTGGGACTGAACACTGGATCAAAGTAAGTTAAAAATGTTAATGACATTTCTACCTATAAATTTAATTGAATTTGTTTGTTTCATTGCATTTCATTAAATTCTATTCTAAGCGTAGTTACCTTAAGAGTAAAAGAATCAGGTTAGAGTTAACATCGATATATAATAATGCAAAAGTTTGATTCATAAGCCACGTCCTCATCAAATCAAATGTCACCAAAGTCTTACATAGGATCCATCTTGCCAAAATCCTTATATACATCATTTCGTCTCTTCCACTTTCATTACTCTTTATATGTTCGCCGGTTTTTATGGCTTCTGATATCACACCTAACAGATTTTCTGTGTATATTATTTATGTTCCATTCAACCTAGTAGCAACGAATTACTAGTCACAATTTATAAATATCTTGTTCAGGTAGGTGACGAACTGAGTTCTGCTAGTCACGTGATCAGTGACCTGATGCCGGCCACGTGGTACGAGCTCGTGGTGGAGGCGTACAGCGACGCGGGCACCGAGCGGGTCACGCTGCTGGCCGACACCTACACTGTAGCTGGTGGTGAGGCTTCGCTAAATGAGCCCTAATGTTCTTCTTTATAGCATATCATGCACAAATGCGTTTTATTTTCTAGACAGATGATAGATTAGATTAAATTCTTTATTTGCATCATGGCACGCACATGTACATTTCATATAAAAAGTACTTCTACATGATGTGGACAAGTGATCAAAACTTCTTTTTATCTGTGCTGCTGAAGAAACATTAAAGTCATCAATTTCGAATGCATCACTAATATTCTCCAAACTTAGCTGACCTTGCGATTAGGGTTATGTATTACATTTAAATAATGCATTCAAGAATAGATACGGCTAAACAAAATATGATTTATATTACAAACGTTTTTTGACTAGGTATGAGCTGATTTTATGAGTGAATTTTGTCAGGCAAAGCTGCACCTCATTAGCAGCACTCCTTTAATTGAATCGGTATAACCACAAGCTGTTAAGCTCTAAAATATACCTCCCTTTAAGTATTTTCGTGGCTTCTGGGGGAGTTTTAATAGCTAGGTTGGGATATTCTGCGATTTTAAGTTTGAATGTTCGTGAACTTTCTTCGACTATTTATAACTTCACAATTTTTTTTAGCCTATTTGCAGTGTTAACTGCGTAGATTGCTGTTGAAGTTTTAGGAGTCTGCGGTTTGCCTATTGTAAAGATGGGTAAAACAAACCGATGAATAAAATGATTTAATAAACAAATAGACTTAAGATAATTGAAATACATTATAAATCCTGATAAAGATAATAACCGTTATATATTATCGCAGGCAGGATTGCGCCGCTGAAGCCATGGGCGCCGCTAGCCGACGAGGGCGGGCGCGGCGGCGTGCGCACCGCGCTGCTGGCCGCCGCCACCGCCACGGCGCTGCTGGCCGCCCTCGCGCTCGCACTGTGCCTGCTGCTCGGCAAGGGCAGGTGCGGCATTTGCGAAACTATCGTCTTTTTACTAATACTCGGAATATCGATAGAATTAGCGATATTTGCTTAAGTAGGTTTTTAAACTATTTTTTCAAGAAGTTAGGGCGAACCTGACGCGACTAAACAAAGATGGATAAAACTGAACGAATTACAACTTATCAAAAACATAAATGGCTCAGAAACATTAATAAAAGCATACGATTACACGGTTTCTGTGATAATAGGCGAAAAGGCATACGCTTGCGTCATATATAGCTGTGTCGCTTACAAGTATAATGTTACAAAAGTGACGTTATTACCCGCGAGAACGAAGAATTACTTCACAAAACACATCGCTTCCACGACTGAAATGCGGAGCGCTCCTACTCACTCAACTGACTGATAAGATTAAAAAATTAATACCGGTACATGTCGTCACTTTTTTTTGGCCAGGTGTGACTCCAAAGTGGTACTGGCATGGTTACAAGGGAACACAAATAAATGGGAACATTATGTAGCTAACCGAGTGGAAAAATAACTCTAATAATACCTTCACAATAATGGTTTTACGTAAATACTAAAGAAAACTCACGTGAAGAAAACTTACTAGAGGTTTATTATCCAGAAAGATATTTAATTTTAGTTTATGGTGGGATGGATCGAACTTCAATAATCGGAAACTTGAGAACAACAGCTGCTTCTAAACTACACAACAATATCAAACAGGAAATGGTAAAAAAAAGAATTACGAACTGACTAAAAAATGAAATTTTTTTAGACAACTTATTAAATAAATAAAAGATCACTGGCTCAAATATACTTAATTGTAGCTTGGGTCATTCAATTTATTACTTTTTTTTTATAAAAAGCAATGCACATCACAACACTTGAACTAAATAACTTTGCCAAGTGTATATTAAAAAATATATAACGAAAATAGATTGCGTAAGACTACAATCAACTCGAACAAAGTAAATCTGTAACTAAAAGACCTACATTTACAAATTGTATCCTTACATGGACAGCAAGGGTATTATACGTGTCGGAGGGCATCTGCAACACTCAATAAACCAATCAACTAACATGAAGAATCCAGCTATTGCACCAAACAGCGGTCCTAAACCTACAAAGACAAATTTCAGTGTTAAACGACAAACTAACTTGAGTTTCGCAAGAATAGAAAATGAAATGCACGCCATGATGGAACTAGTTATTTCACTTCGCCTTTATTTATTAAGGACACATAGACGTTTATCTTCTTACATCAAACAATCTAAGACAGTTGAACGAGAGCGCTAGAAAACTTCCGAAAACATTATCCTTACCAATAGAACAACATTTGAAACATATTTATAATTTACTGCATGTAAAGGCACGAACTACTGAAAACTACATGCTATATCAATTACATACACCACTTTTATACCACAATAATTATAGAAGTTGGTTTCAAATGTCCGCTTCCCACATTGCAGTCAACCTACAAAAAAATTACTAGATAATAATGGAGTGTATCGACATGCCGCGATTGAGCTTACCATGTAAGGACGTATGGATCAAATAACAAGAGGTGAATGACTAAGGAATGTACTATCCGCGTCATATGTAAAATGACGTCATTGTACATACTCTGACATACTCAAATATTATACACTTAACAGTTACACGTGGATAGACATCCATAGCTCGATCAAAAATGCTCACTACTTACTCTCAAAATACGTACAAGAGTACCACCAATGCTGAACTTAGTATAAGGATGTCGAAACTAGAAAAAACACTGAATACATTTGTCAAGCTAACGCTGCCACAAATTTATGTTTCTACAAAAAGTAATACTGTTATAAATGAAGTTGATCGACGAATAAAACTATTGATGGGCAATGAAAGACGATTGCTACAGACGATAACTCATTATGATCTCTCAATATATCATCTATTATGGGTTACTAGCTATGATAGTAATCACATTTATAGTTTGGATTGCAAAAAACAGACACGATCTACATCAAAAGATCCAAGTTAAAAAACGATAGAATTAAAGAAGATTAGAGCACCCTCCCACGGCAGAATTCAATCGACTGCGGCGGCGGCATCAACAGCAGCTGCAACTACTTCGCAGCCTTGAAAGGAAAAAGGAGCATCATCGTCGTCGTCGCGAAATCCATTATTTAATTTTATAGATTTTCATAGTTACCATTATACATATATTTTTATTTAATTGTCTCTTTTCCGGGTGAGGAATATGTACGGTAAAACAGCACTTAACAGCAGACTAGCTGTTAAAATTAAATGCGCTCAATAAATAAACATAAACAATTTATTGTTGTCAGCATATATGTAACGTAACACACAATTATCGAAGTATCGAACTAACTGTAGGACTAAAAATATCGAATAAACTGGTAAATCTGAACTCTGGCTTTTCTTAATATATTTCGCATATAGACATAATTTAACTTACAATTAACTACAGCTATAACTTATATACTAGAGTATATAAGTATAATTTATGGTGTGCTGTGTTAGCGTGGGCCACTGCATCGTACATCACTATTCTTTGCTTTACAGATTATCGTGTATCTCGAGTGATCATTACTTGAGAGATGATAGAAAATTAAGTGAAAGCAACGAGGCTGAGCGAGAGAAGCTTCGAGAAGGACAAAAATTATATTCGTCTTCGTCGATAAACGGCAACGAGAAATCGAACGACGATTCTTCAGGTGAATTCTTTTTTTTTGGCATCTTTTAACGACGGCGTAGGTGTATTTTACTCGTTCAGTATTTTTGTCTAAATAAATAAGTTGTCGGTCTTTTTATGTAGCGGAGCTGTACGAGATAAGTCCGTACGCGACGTTCGGCGCGTCGGCGGCGCACGCGCTGCAGTTCCGTACACTCGCGCGGCGCGAGCTCGACGCCGCGCCGCCGCACCGCCGCCGCCGCCGCGCTTGCGATCACTATCGATACGGTAACTTCACATAAGCCACACATAACCACACTACTCTGTTCCTAGGGCACTATGAAAAATAGACATCGACATACAAAGTAACTGCTATGTGATCGCTGAAAGAAAAGGATAGAGATGACTCATGGTTTCATTTTGACACCGATCACAAACAGGATTTCAGTCGGGGCTGGATTTGTATACTCCAAAACTTTTCTATTTAACTTATTTCATTTTTGCTAATGAAAATATCGATAGATTTGATTTCAATATTTACGCAAAATTATCTGCGCTTTGGCCAATATTTCTCTATCGACTCAACTGACATCGAAGGCCCTAAATTCTCTCAATTTTAGAATGTAAACTATATGTTAAAGTGGAAGAGGAAATAAACGTAAAAGTGGGATTCAGTCAGTAGCAACGTTTATATTTTAGTTTTTAATAGTTTTCAATGAAATGAACGGAATAAATCGATGTTTCATTCATATGAAAGTTTCGTTAGTTACATGCAGTATAGGAACGGATACGTACCCTATTCGAGTTATCGTCACACAATTCATTAGATTAAGGTTCAAGTTTTCGCCTGCGTTGGGAACAGAGTTTAGGTGTTTCTATAAAATAGAAAGGCGGGTATTTGTATTGTGATGTTGGTTGGACAGACGAGTCGAGTTTGTCTAAATGCTCGACAGTGGAGGCGCGCCACCGCCTGCGCGGCGCCGCCGGCCCGCCGCCCTGGGCCGCGCACACCGACTCCGACGACTACAGCGACAGCGCCGCCAACACCACCACTAAAGGTACACCCGACCCGGGACGTGCCATCGTCACACCTGTTCTATTTATCCAAGAATTAAACTTCGAATCGTTCTTTTGATATAATCATATTCATGAGTTTAGGGTATTAAGTGTCGGACCCTATTTATGTTATCAGAAGGTTAAATAAGAAAACACGTTCACTCTGTAACTCCGTATATTAGCATATGTGTCCCTACAATGAGAATTATCTTCCTCGGGCCTTACATCCGTTGCATCTTAAATTATCAAGAGTCGTTTAATAATAGAATAGGTAAGTCTTCAGTTATGAAGTTCGGTGCCCAGACTTTTTTGCCGCCCCGAACCGATTCCGATAATTTGAAAAATATTATTGTAAATGGTTTAAAATAAAAAATCTAATTTTTTGTTACAATATTAGGAATACAGAAACAGATTCTTACGCTACACATTACTCATTATTAAATTAATATATAAATGCATACCGAACAAAGTCCATATGGTAACCTTGAATAAGGTTAAGCACCCATGCACGAGCATGACGCATGACATGAACCATCCATCACTTTGCCCGACTGTTTTAGCTTTGCGCGTCTATATAGGTATTTTAGGAGCACACGATATACTATGTAGAGATTTTTTTACGAGAAGTAGGGGGAGTTGAACCACTGTTCTTGTTGAAGACATCAGTGGTTAATTATACCATCTGTGGTGATGATTCTTCTGCCATAATACTACTTGCACTCAATTCAATATTATAAATCTTAATAAAACAAGTGAACAGAAGGCAAATAACATTTAGAATAGTTTTTATAATTTTTGAGATTAACGATAAGTATCAATTCCAAATAATAAATATATGAAAGCAAAATTACGCAAAAGACTCTAATAGATAGATGATACTAAAAAAATAAACAGAATTACTAAAACCCCTGATAATGAGTTTCCTCAGACTTTTGATGTCCCTCATAGTAGGGAGAGTTGATCCATTTTATAATCATGTTATATTCTATATCCAAATTAGAATCTAGTCTCTACGACAAATCTATACCAAGATATGATAATTTAAGTAATAAAAGGTTCAAGTCTCCCGGACTTCCCCTAATCCACTTTTCACGTAAACCTGGTTCTTAAGGAAAACTGCAATATAAAACGACAAATTCTAAGTGAACGTTTTTATATATTTTATTTATTTTTATAGTCACGACTTTTATTTAGTGACTTAAATTACGATATTTTTTAACAAATAACAACACTATATATATATGTGTTATTGACTTTATAACATTTTTTTAAGTCGATCGAAGGCGCCTCGTCAAAGATAGTGTTTAATTTCTCTTTGCAAAGATACTTGTTCCTAGAACGAATCCAACGCTTTGCAATATTTATGAAATATTAGTGATGGGAAGCCACATTGATCGATTTATTGATTTCGCGCATAATTCAGTGAAATATGTTATTAATACATTAGGAGTAGCAGCTTAGAAGTAAATAAGATGGGTGATCTGATGATGTTGCAGGGTCGGGCGGGTCCCCGTGCGGCAGCGCGTACGGCAGCGGGAGGCGCAGCGCGCGCACCACCAGCAGGTAGAACTCAGGTACCTCCCCCGCCACTCCACCACTCCGCCACGCACCTCCGCCACCGCGGACTAATCACACTTTAGTCTATTATGTAAAAATACCTACCTATGTTACGACGTTATTATTAGCATGAGCCGGTTAAGGTTACATTTTTTGGTTAGGTTAGCATGTGTAATTTTAAGTTTGACTGGCAAATCTTTTATGTTCACACCGATCTTTAGCCATAACTTAATAAATATATTTGATTTGATTTCATAAAGCCCACTACCTAACCGTCATAATTATAATACTTACTATAATTACTTAAAGTTATGAATTACGAGTATAAAATTTTTTTAGTTTGATCGATTGAGTTTTTTTAGGCAGTTATGGACCTTTTTTTTTATACTCAAATAAATATATTCCAATACAAAGGCTTCAAATCAATAACCTCACTTGCTAAGCTTCGCTTCATCTAAACGTAGATAAGTACTTTATTTGATGTTGTGTTAACATTATTCAATTTTTTATTGACAGCGGAGGCCTAAATGGGAGCGACGGGCTTTCCGGAAACTCCGCCCCAGTCGCTCCAGATATATCGTCTTTAATCGATAAGTGAGTAAAGAATAAAAGTGAACTGAAAATTGGGATAATTTAAATACACGTATGATTCTGATTACGATTGTTTTCGTTTCCCAGATACCAGCAAAGAAAAGAACAAGAACGTCGGGAATGTACAATTCACGTATAACAAACATTCCATGGTCCATTATTAGAATAAGAAAATATAGGTAGCTGACTTTTTAATATTCCAAAGCGAAACCATTATTATATATTAATTTTGATCCAAGAGTAAAAAAATAATTGGAAAATCATGACTGTTACATTATTAAAGCTATGCTTCTAAAATTTCAAAATGTGCAGCTAAATGGTATTATAACCCTGTTATAAAATAATTGTTATAACACTATAATGTGATTTTATTTATGTACTGTTAGCATGTAACAGTATAGACTATAAAATTGATGAAACTGTAAATAAATTTACCAATGATAGAATTAATATTAAATGTTATTGTGTGCTGTGGGATGATTGATATGTAAAAATGTGATTGATAAAGAGGCAACTAATATGTCATAAAATGGCACTAATAAATTTTTAAATATAGTTTACTTATGACTCGGATTCCTATTCATTTAATATACTTTAAAATAAAAAGTTAAGACTAATTGTATTTAACATTTGTATTATAATTTGATTTAGATCTTTTTGTACTAAGTGAAAAGTTTCGAAAAAAAAATTATATAGGTACTGCTGTTATTCTTTTTTTTATATATATTTTTACTTATTTGAGTAAAATATTAAAAAATCTCACAGCAACACTTAAGCATCCACAATGTTTTACTGATTTAATATGCATAAATGCATATAGATGTATTTGTGGAGAATGTAATTATAATTAATTAATTATTAATGATGAAAGATAAAATTAACGGCTGTTCCAAACTGCAAAAGATACATATCATTACTATAGACTGCCAATTTAATATATAAGGGATTCGTAATTCTTTTTACTGTATTGTTGATTATTATAAATAAGTAGATATAATTATACACTATTGTATAAAAGTCTTTCTATATACATGTTGTGTAATTAATATTATTATTTAGGAGAAAGAGGAAATAAAGATGTGTGTTGTGGTATGAAGTTTGATTTTGTTATAATTACATAAAATTGCCATCAGCAAGTGGTATAAAACTACGCAAGGAACTTCAAGAATAATGTGGTATTTTATGCTATATTGATTTCATTATGTGCTAAAAGCATTTCGCCACCAAAATTTATGCCTAGAATATTCAATTGGAGTAACGAGATTACTCGCGTAATTATGTTTAACCTATAATTACTACAATTGTGACTCTCATGTATTTCGTCATCGACAGACAAATTTAGGGACCAAGTCTATTCCAAGACGTATTGAGCTGGCAGCGTCACTATATTCAATTTTGAAATGAGCTCTTGATCCTTATTTAAAAATTCTGTTACTAAATAGGAACAAATAGCAAAGTTGCGTAGTTTCGAAGTAAAACTAGAGTTTTTGTGGATTTGCTGGACTGATGTCGATCTGACAGCATCACAGCTCTGCGTAGCAGCGTAGAGTTTTGTACTTTCCATGTTATCTTTTAATCCCATATATCAGTCATGTACATGTGGGAAAATGACACAGTAACGTGACACGTTCTTTTCTTATTAAGTGATAAAAAAAAAGAACGATATATAAGAAAGAATATTTATTTGCGATAAGTAAAATCGAGGTCAAGGTCCCTAGGGTCGTGGGTAGGTTTCTTAGAGGTCTGATGGTAGATCACTCGATAGAACTTCCCTGTACTCCTGTGAATTCTACGGTGCGCCGGGCTTCAATTTCTGGTTTCCATAAGGCACTTCTCCAATTCTCAAATATCAATTCCCAGTATAAGTAAAGTTGGCGTGATTTTCTTAATCCGTACGGAGTTCCTGAAGAAGTCACAATAATGCCACATTATTACCCGGAAAGAGAAGTCGGGTACTGCCACTAGCGTTGGTCGTTAAAATTAGCAATCAAATCGTAGAATCTAGCAAAGCTAGTTAGTACAGGAGTGAAGAGAGTATTCTTAATTAATCTGGGTCGAAGTGGCAGTTATAAATAAAAAAAGCAGTAACGGTTACATAAACTGATGGTATTTAAATGAAATAAAAAAAAGAACATGGAACGTAGGTAGCAATATAAAATATATATCAATAATGACTTTTATTATTGATCATGAAATATTACGGTGATTCTTGTTAAACTTAAGTAAATTAATTAAGCAAAAGCTGCATACTTAGAAATGTAAAATAAGTAACTACAATAATTCAAACGTTTCTACTCATTAAATAATTGGTTAAATGCACAACCTACCCAGTACGGGATTATATTTTTTCACTACACTTCTAAGTGTTTCTTATATTTATTTAAACTTTTTTTTTTTTTATATGTTTATTTAAAATAAGAATCGTCAGTCGAAGACTTAGTAAAATTCGAACAGACTTTATATTTTGAAAAGCGTTACACAGCTGTTTTCAAACAAGATTCATTTGTAAGTGTGGCTCGCAACAGGCACGAGCGGCTGGCCGCCGCCGGCCGCCGCGCGGTCGACTTGTTATCGTTTTTTTATGCTACCCGCGCCCGCGCCAACATCGCTGTATATATATATTACATCTGCGTGCGATCTGTTTGTTTGTAAATATTTAATTTGTATATAGTTAGGTTTTAAGTATTTTTTTTTTTAACGTATAATTATTTATTCTTTAGTAGTTATTAAGTTTTCATTAAAAATTAACATAGTTTTAAGATTATTATTTATTTTAATTTATTTGCAGTTTGTAAATAATGATAAACAATTCATAATTAATACGGAGACACGTAAACATTAATTTACTGTTTTATCATTAAATAGAACAACGTTACAGTATCCCCCTTCCAGAGAAGGATTTTTCCCGCCTTGATTAGAAAAATCCACAAAAGAAAATCGCTCTAAAGTTTCAGATCTTTAATGTGCCAGGCTCCCAGGTCATTACCAGCCATGTCTTCTAGCACATAAACCAACGGAGAACGTTTTTGTTTAATTTTACATTTCACATATTTAGGTGTCAATTTCTTAGTCAAATGTGCATCTTTGTCACTTTGAAAATAGGTACGCTTCCACACTATATCACCCTCCTCAAATTCTGCCTCTTTCCGACGAAGATCGTATCGTTGTGAGTTCTTTTTGTGAGCCCTCCATAGTGAGATTTGAACTTTATCAAAAAACTTCCGAAGATATCCCAAATTTTCAGCATATATCTCGCGAGGTAGGAATACTATTTCGTTTGGAACATCATTATCGATGTAATGTGATCCACATGTCACTAATTCTCTTCCATGAACCAAAAATGAAGGTGTATAACCAGTGCTCTCATTAATAGAGTTATTTATAGCAAACTGAATTTTAGAAAGGTTAACATCCCAAGAACGGTGGTCATCATTTACAAATGTCGACACTGCAGTCATTATTGTTTTATTATATCTTTCTACAGTATTTACTTGTGGGGTATACTTCGGGGTAAAATGAATATTAGGTATCTTATATTCCTTGAAGAGATCGTCAAGTTTATGACTTGTGAATTGGACACCGTTGTCCAATATAATGGTTTGTGGAATGCCATGTACGAGAAAAACATGATTTTCAAGGTGAAGTTTGACCAATTCAGCAGTAGCTCTCCGAAGTGGAAACATCAAACAATATTTTGAAAAGCAGCACGTCACAACAAACAGATAACAGTGTTGTTTTCTAGAAGGTGGCAAAGGCCCGACTAAGTCGATCGATATTGTCTGGAAGGGTCGGTAACATTCCTTGGGTCTACCCATTGTACCTAACGTGCCCTGAGTAGATATCTTATAAGCTTGGCATGTCTCACAGCCAGCCACAAAGTTCACCACGTCTGAATGCATATTAGGCCAAAAGTAATTTAAGCTCACTCTTTTGAAAGTTTTAAAAATTCCAAAGTGACCAGACGTGGGATTATCGTGATTAGCTCTAAGAACAACTTTCCGATTTTCTTTTGGAATCACTTCCTTCCAGTGAAACTCGGTAGTAAGAAAATTTTTATTTCTCATGTACCTGTAAAGCTTACCATTTTCTATACGATAGTTAGGACAACTAGAAGAGGATTCCTTGCAACTATTGTATATATTTAAATACCACGAATCACTAGTAGTAGGCTCAGCCGAAATCAATGAGAGTGGCAACGATCGAGATAAAGAATCAGGTATAACATTATCCTTGCCACGACGGTGCCTTACAACGAAATCAAAAGTTGAAAGCCGGATTCCCCATCTGGCCAGGCGTCCTGTTGGATTTGATATAGATAAAAACCATTTTATAGCAGAATGGTCGGTGAATACCGTGAAGGTTTTCCCATTTTCGAGGTAGCAACGCCAGTGTTCAAGTGCAATAAGAACTGCCAACGTTTCCCTCTCAGTTACACTATAATTCTTTTCAGCATCCGTAAGGGACCTACTCATAAAGGCGATTGGATGCTCTGTACCGTTAATTGTTTGTGAGAGCATTGCACCTATACCAAAATTGCTGGCATCTGTATGCACCTCAAAAGGATGATCAAAGTTTGGACAAGCTAGAATTGGGGCCTTAACTAATAAAGACTTTAGTTCAAGAAAGGCCTGATCAGCTTCATCTGACCAATGAAATGGTGGCGACTTTTTTTTTGTAGACGTAAGCTTATTCAAGGGACCAGCTATCGTACTAAAATTTGGTATGAATCTCCTATACCACGAGGCTGTGCCTAGGAAGCGTTTTACTTCTTTCCTATTTGTAGGCGTGGGGTACTTTAGCATAGCCTCCACCTTTTCTGGATCTGTACGCAGCCCTTGTGCATCAACTATATACCCTAAGTACCGCAGTTGACTACGAAAGAAATGACATTTACTTAAATTTATAGTCAAATTTGCATCCTTCAATTTAACGAAAACCCGATTAAGGAGTGCTACATGTTCGTCAAATGTTTGACTAATAATGATGACGTCATCAACAAATACAAACACCTTCAGTTCAAATTCCGGCCCAAAGAGAGTATCTACAAGACGTTGTTGTGTTGCGGGTGCGTTAGTTAAGCCAAAGGCGGTGACTTTGAACTGAAAAGTGCCCCTACTGGGAACGTAAAATGCAGTCTTT